ATCCGGAGCCATCAAATCTCCAATAACTCCTCCACCGATGACCAATGGGGCCGAGCCTCCAAGACCAGCCAAGAACCTGAAGGCTGTCAGGGATGAGGCGGAAGGAGCCACTGCGCACGCGACCGTCAGGGCGATGAAGAAAGCGTTGGAGAATTGCAGCACCAGCTTCCTTCCAAACATTTCCGAGAGCGGCGCGAGGAACAAGGGACCGATGGCGTATGCCAAGACGAAAACGCTGAGGACGAGACTCTGGGAGACCGAAGAGGTGATGGACAGCTGGGAAGCTATGAGGGGTAGCGCTGGCGCTACCATGCTGCTGCTCAGAGGAGATAAGAAGGTGTAGGTGGACACAATGACGATGACGGCCCACCGTCTATGAAGGCTCCAATTTCTAGGATTAGCCGGGTCCGTCGATCCATCCCAACCGACGACGTTGGCATCTGCTTCCTTTTGCGAGAGCGAGGATGAGGACTCTACAGAAGATGTCGCTGCTTCTTTCCGTTCTGCTGTCCCTTCTACTTCCGGTCCAGATTCCGCCTGACCCTCTTTCGCAGCTTGCATCTCCAAATCGGTCTCTTGCGCCGTGCGTGCACTCGACTCCGATCTTCGCAGAAACCCGTCAGACTCCTTGCGCGCCGCATTAGAGTACAAATGCTTGGCGTGCTCTCCATCGCCGCCTTGTCTGACCTCGGCAAGCTCGGCGGCCTGAACAGCTTCATGCTGCTTGTCCTCCTCGTCCCACCTTCTGACCTCCTCGGTCAGTGTTTCCTTTGCCGAGCGATGTTCCACCGATGTACCCTTCTTAGAGGTCGACGTGTGAGTTGTTGCACCTCGAGACTGCGAGCGTGAGCGTGAGCGCTTTGGACCCAAGGCGCTCTCGTGCGTACCAGATCTGCTCAAGTGTCCAAATTCGGGATCCGCGCCACCGTTGACCTCATGATTGTGATAATCTTTTCTGGAAGGGTTGCGCGTCAATGTGGCGGGCCGACTCCTGCTTGCAGATCGATTCAAGGCCAGACCATTGCTGCTGCTGGCATTTGCAGCGCGAGCTCCATCAGCGCGGGGTGGTACATGGAACACGGGAGGCTTGTGAGGTCGTGCGTTGGCGCTGGACATGGGTGAGGGGTTTGATGGAGCGATATCGGCGAGGGCAAGTGTGTGTATATGGAGAAGACGCTAAGGCAGATCAGCGACACACGAAAGTCGCAAAAGCTGCAATGGGGTGCGTACGTGATGGATGATGTTGGACGTACGCGTCTCTCTCTCTGCCCATGGCAACGTGAGCAATCAAGTGTCCCAGCTTTATCAGCATTCGAGACTTGCGACTTGCGAACAAAACCTGCACCGCACCGCACCGCACCGCACCGCACCGCACCGCACCCAGCATAGCTCGACATGACTGATGATTCTGGACGGGCAAACCTGATGCAAGTTGCTCGGCAGACCAGACATCGGTTCTATCGGCATAGCAACCGAGCCGCACGCACACCGCTCGAGCACCGCTCGACGGACGCTCCTGCCCGTGTCCTCAATCGGCATATCTGGGCGCACATCATGCAAACACATCAACGAGCGGCTTGCCTCCTTATGCTTCTGATCCGGTCTAGTTCTGACATCCTGCAAACTCGCAAAGGCGCAGAGCGAGACGGGGGGTTCCCTAGACCCGGCTCCAAAAGGGGGGGGGGGACACGAGCGAGGTGTTCCTGCCGAGCAAGCAAACCGCTCGGCGCTCGCTGCTCGCTGCTCGCCCGCCGCTTCAGAGATTCACATGACCACGCCCGGCGGCGGATGGGCGGCAAAACAAAGTTCATGCTGGCGCGCGCGCCGCGATAAGATTCACCTTCACCTTCGCGATTCATCATCCATCCATCATAGCAGCTTTGCGTTGTGGGGCAAAACACCGAATCGGACATGTTCGGCTTCATCGCCCCCCCCC